TGCGCGTGTGTATGTGTGTGTGTCTGCATGTATTCATATATATGTGTGTCTTTCTATCTGTCTCTGTGCTAGGGATCAAAGCAGAGCTTGCATACTCTAGGCAAATGCATCCCCAGTCTCTGATTTTGGTATTTATAGCAGCTTCTTCATCTGTAGAATTGTTTTCATAGTGGTGCTCATTTCACAAGTTTCCTGTAATAATTAACTGAAATTAATATTTGTAAAATATTTAAAACAGTGCCTGGTATATAGCTCTACATAAGTGTTAATTAGTCATTAACCTTCCTTCCTGGCCTTTCGCTGTCTTGTCCTTTCTACTTGGTTTGTCACACGCCTCCCACAGGGAAGGTTTGGTATCACTGCATCTGACTGCTTTTTTTTTTCTCCTCGTAGTATTTTTGCTTTAGGGTTAAGTGCTATACGATCCCATGTAATAATCATAATAGTTGCATTCTAATTTTTAAAAATCATTGTGTTTGTTTTTACATGTATGGGTGTTTTATCTGCATGTATTTCCATGTAATGTGTTTTCCTGGTGCACACTGAGGCCAAAAGAGGGCAGCACATCCTCTGAGACTGGAGTTACAGGCAGCTATGAGCTACCACACGTGTGCAGGAAATCAAACCCAGGTCCCCTGGAGGAGCAGCCGGTGCTCTGAACTGCTTAGTCATCTCTCTAGCTCCAATAGTTGCATTTTCAGATGTATTTTACCTTTCTTCCTATATATGTATGTCTGCATGTGGGGAACATGCATGTGAGTTCAGGTGTCCACAGACGGCAGAGGTGTGGCGTCCTCTGGAGCTGCAGTCACAGGCAGCTGTGAGCACCCCATGTGTCCTCTCTACATAAGGGCAGTGTGCGCTCTTATGAACTGCTGGGACATCTTCCCAGCCTTGTGGTTGTATCTTAATTGTAGGTTGTGGGCTTTATTGTCGGATCCCAGGCCTTTTGCCTTGAATTCAACATTGTTTAATATTAACACACCAACAAAAATGTCCTGATTTCTGTGTCATCTCTGTTAATGTGAGAAAAAAATAATTGGTTCTGAGAGAAGAAAATAATTCTACTGTTATTCAAAATGTTCTAATGCAGGGGCTGGAGAGATGGCTCACCAGTTACAAGCATGAACTGCTTTTGTAGAGGACCAGAGTCTGGCCCCCAGCACCCACAATGGGCAGCTCACAACCACATGTAGCTCCAGGAGGATCTGACGACCCTTCTGGTCTCCATGGACATACCTGTGCACATACACATGCACATAGACACAGACACACACAGAGATACACACATAGACACACACATACATACATACGCATGTACACGACGACACCAGGCACACACAATCTTCAACGTTAAATTGACTGGATCTAAAGTTACCATAGAAACACCTCTGGTCACATCTGTGAGTGTGTTTCCAGATGGGATTAAGTAAGCAGTTAATCTGCTCACTCTTAAGTGAGTGGCAATATTCCCACAGGTTGGGGAAAAAAGAGAAAAAAGAAAAAGCAAGACGAGGCCAGAAAGTCGCCTCTCCCTGCTTCTTGATCAGCCAGGTGTGGTCAGCAGCCCCATGCTCCAGCTGCCTTGGGGTGCTTTTGCTCAGGTATTTTATCATAACAAGGGGAAAGTAACTAATATACACCCCTAATGCAAAAAGAAAAATGAAATTTGAAACCTTTTGAGATCTGATGTGACACCTAAATCCCAAATTTTGAGCATTTATGAAATTTGGATTTAGGGTGCTCAACTGGTAATTTTATGCAAATAGTCTCAAATGTCCAAACTTCTAAAATATGAAACAGTTCTGGACCCAAGCATTTTGGATTAAAGGTACTCAGCCAGCTAAAATTTTGTTTCATGTTTAGTCACTTTGTTGCACACGGCTGATATATTTCCAAGGTCAGAGTCCTTTTCCTTTTAAAAAGTGAATTTTATCCGGTTACATTTATTATTAAGATGTGCTTGATCTTACTTGACTGTATGATTTTTTTGTTTTTTACACTTCCTGTTGCTTCTTTTTTTTTCTTGCAAGATCTCTGTTTTCTTAATATTCCCCCCTCAGCACGTTGGAAGGGATATAGTTTGCTTTCTGTTAAACAAGTTTATAACTTTAAATAACACATGCAGACTTCTTTTTCCCAATATATCATTGACGTGGTTTTTTAGAAACAGTGCTTGGCTGTCTACCCTGATTAGATTCACCAGATGCTTGCCAAAACTCCTCCTCACTTATGCCAGCCTGAGATTTTCCTGCACAACCCAGACTAAATGGCTCTGGCTGCCCTTGTTTGTGGCTGTTTAAAAACAAAACTTGTTAACATATTGTCAAATCATACTTCTCTGAAACCTACGGAGACTTGGCTCCGGCTGCTGATGGTAAAACAGCAGGCAGGCTGCGAGTCATGGCTCCAGGCCCACTCTAAAGCAGGCAGGGGCATTCGAAGTGCTCCCTGTCCTCATGCTGCCAACAACGCAAGTGTTTGCTCCCCATGTCCTCTGGACTACTCCCATCCCTGCTCACTGACATCTCCAGGGCTGGCCCATATCTGTCGAAGGCCTATAGGCTCAGAGCTGGTGCTTGCAAGCCAAACGGGGGCTTATGGAGGGTCTCACCCCTCCTCCTTGGCTGTCCTCCACTGTGAGCCTGTAGGCTTACTCCAGGGCGTCCTCCCTAACTGTCCTAGCTCTGTGTGACCTCTCCTCACTCAGAGTCCTCCATTCTTAGTCTATTCTATCTTGTATTGATCTTTGACATCTCAAACCTGCTGAATCTGGTTTCTCCAACTAGAGCAGAAGACCCTGAGGCCAGAAACACAGAGAGCTTAGAAAAGACATCAAATGCATGAAGGGTCGTGATCACAGACTCCGGAATCTGACTGCCTGTGTTCACATACAGTTTTGAACAGTGGGGGTAGGGGACCGCTCTTTCCATAGAAGCTGATGAACACACAGAATGTGACAATGTGTGAACGACATAGCTCAGACTGTGGCCCACGGAAGGCAAGGGTGGTATGGAGCCAGTGCTTGCCCGTCAGTCATGGCTGTAGTCTAATGGCCTCACAGCATGTCTGATGCAGAGGGCAGGTGGATGAGTTCCAACGTGGGAGGCTGCAGATGCAGGGAAAATGATTTCCCTTTCATGGAACAAGTCAGTGGGCTGGACACAAGGCCGGTGACAGCCCTTCTGCTGGCCTCCACAGGTGCTGTGGGTGGAGGCTTCTGAGCCTGCTCTGCTCCAGGGGGCCTGGGTGGCATATCTCCGACAGAGGCACAGCCCTGCTCTCGGTCTTCCCGCTGCCCTGCTGCCCTCCTCCAGCCCTGCCTGCCCAGCCCCACACCCCCAGGCGGTACCAGCGCTCCGCTGCTCAGCAGGATCATGAAGATGATGAAGGTCTCGAACCAGCTGTGCTCCACGATGCGGTAGCAGGTCTTGCGCAGCCGCCACCAGACCTTCCCAGGGGCCTGAGTGGTGTCCACTGTGCAGCAGGGACAGCGTCGGACACAGCCTGCAGGGGAGGGGAACAGGCCCGTGAACAGTGAGGTCTGGCGGCAGAAGGCTGGTCCTCTGAGGGAATGGCTGAGAGAAGGGGTGTGATGACGGGGGGGGGGGGGATGGCATTGGATCGGGGGATCGTGTGCTCTCTGCAGAGCCGCACACTCAGCGAACACTGGGAAGAAGCTGGCTGCACTGACCTGGGGCGGTTCTGGGGACGGCATGGGTGCCAGCCACCCTGTTCCCCTCAGGAAATAAACTCTGGAAATACTTATGTCCCAAGATCCACCCCATCTTTTCAGCGTCTGGGCCTTGGGGATGTCTGGTGGAGCCCTAAGTGACTGCCAACACCGAGGTGGCACATGATGGAAACCCACATCCACCCTCCAAATGCCACATTCACAAAGCTGCAGATGTCGGCCATACTGCGCAGCATGGGGGTAGCCAGGGGAAGACTGCGTGGCAAGGTGAGCCTGGGTTAAGGTGGCCCACGGTGCCTGCCGCACCACAAGCACGGGGCTGGCATCCCTTGTGATGCCAGCCAGCGCTGTACCAGCAGACCCCTCAGGGGTGACCCCTGGGCGTGGCTGAGGGCCGCCAGTACCTTCAGGGAAGCACTCCTCCGGGTCCTTGACATCCTCCCCGAGGTCTGGGATTTGCTCCAGGAGATCTGCGGTGTTGGTCATGTCGGCCGTGCTGCCCTCTGAGTAACTTTCCTCGGCGGTCTGTGGGGAGTGTGCAGGGATGGCCGTGGGCTGAGGAACAGCCTCCAGCCCCGGCCTAGCATCTGGGGGAGTCCAGGTGGGCTCCTCTTTGCACATCCTGGGAATCTGCCTGCCGCAGAGCCACTTAGGGAGGGCAGAGCAGAGCCTCGGCTTCGGGACTCTGGGTCTACAGGTCTGGTTCTGGTTTAGGGATGTAGGGAATGAGGGGCTTCGGGAGAACTCAAGGGCAGAAATGCATCTAGCTTGGGCCGGACAGACAAGTGGGGGAGACAGAGGGGACACCTGTTTGTACGCAGACGCACATCAGAACAGACTCAAAACCAAGACACAGGCACACAGCAGCAAGTCACACATGCAGAGGACATGCCAGCAACAGCCCATGCATCCTGCCCAGTTCGCACAGGCGGTGTTGGGTCGGGGCAGAGAAAGCGCTGGAACTGGCCCTCCTTGGCCCTAGACCTCAGTAACTTGCTTGGTGCCCAGGGAGGCGCCAGACCAGAGATTCTCAACCTGTGGGTCGCGACCGCCTCGGCAACCCTCCAAGTACACATTAGAGTTTATAATGCGGAACTGTGTTAAAGAGTCACAGCATCGGGAAGGTTGAGACCCGCCACTGTAGGGCACCCGACAGCCTGTGCGTGTTTGTGGGTACTCATGGGTAATATCAGAGGTCTGTGGGTAGAGACAGCAGCCTGTCCCACCACTCTAAACCCTGCGGCTTAGCTGGCCTCTCCTCCGGGACAGGCCAGCCAGTGAACTGGCAGCTGGGGTCATCACCACAGGTCTCCGGATGGGACAGCACAGGGGTCCGGCTCAGAGCTCTGCAGCTCCCCAGTGGCACCCGCTGAAGTCCACTCCAGAGAACCTGCCCATGGCCCTGGCCTAGCAGCTTTCTTCTCCCCCTCTGCTACTCTTGTGGCCCTCCTGGCCTCTCCAGTGAGCATTGCCCCATGAGTCCCTGCCCCTCTGCTCCGGGGTAACGGAACTTGGACAGAAGAGTCAGAAGGGCTTCCGTGGAGAAAGGAGCCGCTGTCTGCTTCCGCCCACTCTCACTCCTGTCTCAGCTGGCTGCCTAAGGCCAGGGGAGGCTCTCAACAGCCTGGCTATGTGGCTCCCGCTGCCTTCTTTGTGCTCCCTGGGATGAACCAGCATGCTTATATCTGCGCCTCATGTCTTCTTACTTCTGAGGTTTGTGGTGGAAAAGTGCTAGGTCTCAGGGGAGGGGACTGCCTGCTTGAAGTGGCTCTGTCTCGTGGTCACCATGTGGGCTTTGCAGACTGTGTAAGGCACAGAGAACAGTCAGGGAGTTCTTGGACCCAGCTGCAGGAGGGAGGAAGCGCCTCCCTTTCCCTCTTTTCTCTTTCTGAGCTTCAATTCAAGCTGTCGCCTACCTTGAACTCCTAATCCTCCTGCCTCTGCTCCCCGTGCACTGGGGTCCCAGCTGTGGGCCACCACTCCATTTCCGTAGTGCTGGGGATCAAGCCTGGGGGTCTGTGTGCTGGGCAAGCGCCCTACCATTACGAGCCCAGCCCGGGAGGAGTCCTCCTCCTCTTCCGGAACCACAGACATTGAAGGGAAGATGCCACAAAGCTCCGTATAAGGTTCACCCTCGCTCCTGAGGCTTGGCAACCTGAATCCTCCTACTCCACGTGTTAGCCATCGAGGGAGCCGGCTGTGACCCTGTCAGGTCACAGTCCACCAGGGACTCGTGCTCCAAGCACCCTAGGGCCTGTCTAACAGGACAGCAGCAGGCTGAGGGATGAGGTCACCGGCACTCTCTGAGCACATGACTTCCGATCCACATGCTTGAAGCAAGTGAGGCTGAGCAGCGTGGCAGGCTGCGGCAGGCTGCAGCATGGGTCCCTTGGCTGCGGGGCTTAAGATTCACTCACAAGTGCAGAGGGGCCAGGCAGGTTACACATACAGGGAGGCGGTAGTGCTGCAGCAGACCAAAGAGCTCCAGCCGAGCCTGGGGAATGGCTAACCTCCTCTTTACAGCACAGGGTGCCACTTTTGAGTTTTCAAGAGGAACAAGAAATGCAGATTTTTTTTTTTCTAAACAAAAAAGCTCCCAAGTAAGTGGCAGTGTTAATTCAAAGTAAAGCCTTTATGTGGCTGCAGGCTAGGCAGAGGCCCCCGGTGACTGGTATGGCAAGGACTGTTCTGAGAGATGGCTCAAGTCCTCTTTGCATTGGGGGTACGCTGGGGGGATGGGGGAGTCACAGGACAAACGCTTGTCAAGTGAACACTGGGACAGAGTGTGAGGACAGGGGAACACACGGAAGTGCTGGCTTCGTCCAGCCTCAGGGTCCACGGCTTTCTTGTGGCCTTGGGGTGGGTACCGTCTCTGCCTGTCAGGATGCTGGCTTCCCGCCCTCCTCTCTCACTGGGTCTCCTTGCTGTCTGAGACCCTGGCTATGGTTTCCCTTCATAAACACGGCCTGCGCTGTGGCCTTGAACAGCCTGGCTCGGGCCCCAGCGACAGACCCCACTGTTACCTCACTGTACCCCGGGGCCCGGGGCTCCGCCTTCCGCTCTTGCTGCCAGTCTGCCTGAGACGTACTGGCCTCAGCTTCAGAGGATGTGGTCTCTGACACCTGGCTCCCGGGCCTGGGCTCCTGGGTGGGCTCTAGGCCACCAGACACAAACTGGGATTCCTGCTGAAGAGATCCCATGAGCATAGCCTAAACACCCGGGCAGAGGGTCTCCAGGGCCCTGGCTTCATGGGCTGCGACCCCTGCCCACTGCTTCCTAGCCTCTTCATGAACCTCCACCCACTAGAGATCCCTTTCCTGCTGACTTGGGTCAGTAAGTGAGAGGTTCCTGTAAGGATGGGCAGAGGACCCATAGCCAAAGCTCAGCACATTTCAGACTCCCTAAAAGGGTGTAGCTGGACCACGAGGCGTATCTTAGCAATGGTATCAACTCCACTTAGAAGGATGTGCTAACTTCTCAAGTCCCCAAGATACTGCAGGTGATTTCCAGGACTCTCTCTCTCTCTCTCTCTCTCTCTCTCTCTCACACACACACACACACACACACGTGCGCACGCCATGTCCTATGAACGAGTCACTGGAAGCTGAGCTGCTGGTGACCCCAGCCCCAGCCCCTTAACCAGTGCTGCAGCCCTACAACTCGACTAGAAGGGCCAAGGCTTGACTGTGAGGCCATCTGAGGCAGCAGGGGTCAGGCCCAACCAGGGCCAGCTGAGGAAGCAGCCAGGAAGGGCCACCAGCACGGAAGGCAGGCCCTGGTTATGCTTGACCCAGGGAGCTAAGGAAGGACCATGGAGCCCAGCTCAGGTCAAGGGAAGCCTGAGGGGCAGACACTCGTGCTGGCCAGACTCTGGTCCCAAGTGTTAAAAATAACACGTGAGAGATAAGATAGTGCCGTCTCTCACACCTCCATCTCAGAGATGCTTATTTTTAAATCTCAGAATTGGCCTCAGGCATGGGAGGAGGGGAAGGAATGGCCGTGAGGTCATCAAACCACAGCCCTCTCCCACCCGGACATTTATCCCTGCTGGCTCTGCTGGCAACAGTCAGCGTCGGCGGTGGGGTGGGGGTGCCTCGCTTTCACTGTCTATAAAGTTAGCCAGGCACGATACTAACTTCCAGGATGAATGGACAACAGCTGGACTTGACTCCCTCCTGAGGGGACAGCTGCTGTGAGGCTGGCCTGCTGAGGTAGTCTGGACCCCACACCAGCAGGTGGCTGCCCCCTCGGGGCAGGGGCTGACCTGTTTGCTCGATTCTTCCTCGGTGCCATCCTCCTCATCCTCCTCCTGGTCGTCCGTGTCTGACTCAGCCACGGCGATGGGCACACACACAGGCTCTGAATCCCCGGGGGTGCCCTGGCCAGGTCGCTTGTCTTCCTCGAATCGTGTTTCCTTTCGGGCTGGGGGCGCCCTCTCCACCTCTGGGGGTGGCGGTGGGGACCTGGAGGCAGCCACGCAGCTGGGCAGCTGGCCACGGGCGGTGAGAGCCGCGGGCTTCTTGGGTCGCCGCCGCAGGAGGCTGCAGCAGAAGTCCCAGGTGGTCCGCTTGACGAAGCGCAGGCCCTGCTGGATGCGGGCCAGGGCCAGCTGGAGGTTGTTCATCTCGCCGTCCTCGTCGGGAGCCGTGAGGTTGTCTGCGCTGAAGGAGCTGAGCAGCAAGGCCAAGAAGAGATTCAGGACCTGTTGAGGGAGGCAGCGGGTCCAGTTCAGCCAGGCACTGCTGGGCCCTGGGTGGGGGAGAACTGAGGCTACTGTGATGACAGACAGAGCGAGGGATGCTGGCCTCTCACACCCCCCCTCCTTCTCTTCATCTATGCAAGAAAAACAAATTTAAATTCTGTCTGGGAAAGGCCCAGTCGGACAGCCACAGTGAAAATTCAGTGTCGGGTCCCCATGTTTCAGCTCGGGGTCAGAGGGCAGATGGGGAAGAGCCTCAACCAGGCACCAGCAACCTCTACACTCAGGCCTCCCTTTCCCTTCCTGCTCTGGATGAATGAGGCAGTAGAGCACAGTGGGAAGGGTAGTCCCAAAGCGCCCTCCTGGGAAGTGGGGAGTCAGAGACAAGGCAGAGGTCCCCAAAGAAACTACTCCCAACTCTAAGGGCTCTGGTGAGTCTGTGGGTAATAGGGAGGAGGCCTTTAGCCTTGGCTCCCCACAGAGGCGGCTACCTGCTCAGCATCTGTCTGTGTCTAAAGACACAGAGTCTTGGCCCCTTCACATGGGAGGGTCACAGGAACAAGAGCAGAGAAGGGACAATGGCAGGAGACAAGAAACGCAGGGACACTCATGTCTCCAGTTGGGTATGACAAGACAAGGCGTCCTGCCCAGCCCCGTGGAGGGGAAATGAAGGTGGCGGTGGGCCGGTGAGCCTATCTGCCCCCAAACTGGGGGTGAGCATTCTGGTGAAGGTGGCGGGGATTGTGAGGCCGAGGCCCAGCAAGAAGGCGTTGATTAAATGGAACAAGCTCTCCCATGGCAGCAAAGGCAAAGGCGCTTCTGCGCCGACTCTCGGAGAAACGTCCTCACCAGGGACGAGGGATTCAGTATTAGTCAAAACTGCTCGCAGTGCCAACCTCTAGCCTGGCCCCTGGCCTCTGGCTTTGGGGTCTAAGCACAGCCTGCCTTTCCCTGTTCCTGCTGCCCACTGGGGGCCCTCACCCATCCCTGGTCACACAGATCCTGGCTCCCTAGGGAAGTCCTGGGTCCAGGCTTCAGGCAAGGTAGGAGGCCTTGTCCCTTGTCCACCCACTCGGGACCCCTCTCCAGCTTCCGAAATTCGGTTTCTTCCAGGGCTTCCCCGTCAGTCACTCGTGGCTCCCAGCCTCGCTTGATCGCTTCCCGTTTCAGCAGCTCGCTTGCTTCCACCCACGCGGCTGGCCCCAGCAGCAGCCCTGTTCCCGAGGCGGCAGCGTGGGCTGGCAGCAGCTGCCCTTCTCCAGAGCCTCTAATCTTCCTGTCCCCAGGCAGACCCGCTCAGAAGTGGCAGGGCTCTGTGTGAGGGGCGGCTCAGCCTGGCATCAGGCTGAGTGCTGGGCACATTTACTTTCGGCTTTTTTTTTTTTTTTTTTTTTTTAAACAGAAAGAGTCTGGCAGCCCCTGTGGCCAAGTAGGGGACTAAGTGAAGCTCCACCCCAAGGGGCAGCTACTTTGACGGGGCTCTGAGCTTCCTGCCTGGGGACTGAGGGGGTGGACAGTCTGTTGGGGCCTGGCCTGGCCGAGGCCCCTGGAGAGGGAACACAGGCAGGTTTGGGGAATGGCTCTGCAGCCCGTAGTTCTCATCACACACCACATTGGAAAGTGGATCTAACCATCCCTCACCGAGTGCTGGGAGGGGACCTGGTAGTCACAGTAGGGCCAGACTTCGAGAGACTGGCTGCGTGTTGGTCTCCTATGTGTCCAATCACGTGGCTCCTGTCCTGAGCCAGGGACTTACTTTAACCTGTGTCTTCTGAGCTGGGAGCCTTCCTCACTTCCCCTAGCTGGGAAGGAGTGACCCTCGAGGGGTCTTCCTTCGGGGCACTGATCAGCTGCTCCTGTCTGAGGGTTATTTCCCCACACCTCTCCAGCTGGTGAGCAGCACCAGCACGTGGCCTAGGCCACGCTTCCCTGGGTCAGCCCACCAACAGCCAGTAGGAACGTTTGCCTGCAAGAAACGCTTAGGGAGTGTCTGTTACTCTGAGCAGAAAACCATGGAGTGATTCACTGGCAATGAGGGACCAGTCAATAAGGAAATGAATGAGTTCGAAATGAGCACTCCACGAACACGCGTGAAGATGAGTGTGCAGATGAATTAATGAACAAGGTGCAATGAAGGAGGACTCAGTGAACGGCTGCGTGAACAGCCTGTTGGATAGGTCGGAAGGATGGAGTACGAGGGCTGTGTGGGCAGGCTGACGGAGGGCAGAGAAGAGAGGAGACAGATGAGGGCAGCGTGGACGGGGGCCATACATGAACGGACACGGATGTGTGTGTGAACGGGAAGTTGCTGGGCAGCGAGGGAGTGGCCAGACAAGCACCTGGTGAGTGAATGCACGGATAGATGGAAGGGTCGCTAACCGAGTAGACAGGCGAGAGAAGGTGGGTGGTGAGTGGGTGACGAGGCCATAGACTGGATAGGCTGGATAGGTGAGCACGTTGCTGAGCAGATGGATGGAAGAACGAATCGTGACTAGACGTGCTGACGGTGGATGGGTGTGTGCCCGGGTGTGAGGATGCATGGTCGGGTAGACAGGGAGAGATGGGTCGACGAGCAAGCTGATGAGTGAACGGGCAGACGATCAGTGGCTTACGGGGATGTGGGCGACTTGACAGCTGGCTGGGTGACTGGCCAGAGAGCGGGGCAAGCAGATGAAGGGACGGAGAGGCGGGTCGGCGCGCACTGTGGGGCCCTCGGCTGACTCACCACCAGGTTGCCGATGACCATGACGAGCAGGAAGACCAGCAGGCACAGCGACTGCCCCGACACCTCCATGCAATCCCACATGGTCTCGATCCACTCCCCACAGAGGATTCGGAAGATAATGAGGAAGGCGTGGAAGAAGTCCATCATGTGCCAGCGGGGCAGCAGGCCGGAGTCGCTGATGCGGTGCCTCAGCTCTGAGTAGTTCTTGCCGAACAGCTGCATGCCTACCACGGCGAAGATGAAGACGATGATGGCCAGCACCAGGGTCAGGTTCCCCAGGGCGCCCACGGAGTTGCCGATGATCTTGATGAGTGTGTTCAGCGTGGGCCAGGACTTGGCCAGCTTGAAGACGCGCAGCTGGGAAGGGAGAGAGAGGTGCCTGCTGACAGGTGTGGGCTTCTGTGACTCTTGGACATTCGGCCCCCAGCTCCTGCCAGAGAGCCCTGGAGGCCTTGTTTTCCCCGAGGCACACCCCACTAGTTTCTCTGAGGGAAACGCTGCTGATTTTTGCCACAGTGTGTGGAAAGCCGCCCAGGTGCCAGCCTGCGTCAGAACTGGGCTGCAGCCCGTCTCTTCCCGTTAGCCCTCCTCTGTCCCACAGCAACCTCCCGCCTGCCTACCCTTATTCCAGGGCAGCCCCGTGGATTCTCCCAGCCTGCTGTGCCCTTCCTCTAGTGAACCGGTTCCCGTCAGGCACTTGAGGCCGGCTCAAGCCATCGACTCACCCAATCCAGCTCTCTTTCTTTCCTCTCAGCCACCACAGGGAAAGATGGCGGTGTTTGATATTTACTGGGCCTCAGGATGTCCTAGGCTGTGCTTAGACTTAGCATGGATTTCTGGTGCCCACACAGGCTGCCATGGTTACTACCCCCTTTGGTCCTCAAAGGTAACTTCTGTAAGTTCCTTGGCTCACAGGAATAAGGCCAGAATTAGAGTCAAACAGCCTGGGTTTTCCTTGCTGTTCCTACATCCTCCAATGGAGCTGCTACAGTCCTCCTCCAGGAAGCCCTCCCTGACCACATCACCAGCCCCTACTGGGCCTCAGGTATTCTGAGCTCCAAATGTAATCCACAGACAGCAGATTCAGTGACATCCGAGACCCACTGAACTTGCCTCTGCACTTTAGCAAGATCCTGGGTAATTTAAGTACTTGCAAGTTAGAAAAAAAAAAAAAGTCATTTCTGTAGGCAATGCCCTGAGCAAGCCGCCATAGACCTGGCTGTGCCTACTAACTTACAGCTCCGGGGACTTTATCTCTCGGAAGTTACTCTCTCATCCACCAGCTGGGGACATTTTAACATGGACCCCACTCCTGGATCCCATCAGAACTAAGGAGGTACATGAAAGGCTGCGTCATCACCAGCTGTTCCCCCCAGAAAGGTCTTCTCTGTCGCCACACTGGGCCAGGCACCCAGAAACACTTAAAAAATGTCTTGACATCACCAGAGCAAAGGCATCGTGTCTGGACAGCGGCCACAGGGAGGGGGTTCCCAGTCCTCACTCCATCCCCCTATCCTCCCCCCCCCCCCCCCCAGTGGGCCCAGTGGGTACCAGGCGGAAGGAGCGGAGCACAGACAGGTTGCCCATGCGGGACAGGCCCAGCTCCATGAGGCTAAGGATGACGATGACGCTGTCGAAGATGTTCCAGCCCTGCTGAAAGTAGTAGTAGGGGTCAAGGGCGATGATCTTGAAGGTCATCTCTGCCGTGAAGATCCCCGTGAAGACCTGCAGAGAGAGCAGCGGTCAGCGGGTCCCGAGCGCGGGCTGGAGGCCCCGGCCAGCAAGCACCCCGCTTCCGGACTCCTGGCCAGCGTCCCGCCCCCGCCCCCCAGGCCTCTTGGCTGCTGGCCGGGCTCAGCAGCTCGGAAACAGCCCACACTCATCACGGGCTGCGCAGACATGCACTCTCACAGCCATCAGCAGGGGCAGCCGGGGCGCCTCACCGCACCCGGAGCGCGGCCTCTCCCGGGCCCCCACACCCTTCCCACAAGCCGGTTCTTCATAACAACAACCACTGCCTGCCACGTGCAGGGGTTGCTCCAGAGTGCTTGTGGGTATTTTTGTTTTGTTTTGTTTTGGTTTTTTGAGACAGGGCTTCTCTGTGTAGCCCTGGCTGTCCCGAAACTCACTCTGTAGACCAGGCTGGCCTGGATCTCAGAGATCTGCTTGCCTCTGCCTCCTAAGGGCTGGGATGAAAGGTGTGCATTATCACCACCCTGTGGGTTTTATGTGTGTGTGAGTGTGTGTGTGTGTGTGTGTCTGTGTGTGTGTGTGTCTCTGTGTGTGTGTGTGTGTCTCTGTGTGTGTGTGTGTCTACGTGTAGGGCTGTGTGGCCCTTACATAGGTGTAGAGGCCAGAGAAAGACATTAAGTACCCTGCTCTATGGCTCTGACTTCCCTGAGGGGGTGTGTCACTGAACCTGGCTGGCCCTGAGCAGGCCTCAGGGACCCTCTGTCTCTGCCACCCACATCACTGGGGTTACAGGCGTGTACGGCCACACCTGGCTTTCAAACGATGTGTTTTTTGTTTGTTTGTTTTGTTTTCCTTTTGGACAAGCTCTTCACTATGTAGCCTTGGTGGCCTGGAGCTCTCTGCAGGATGGTCTTGAACTTGTGGAGAAGTTCCTGTCTTTACCTCTTGAGTGCTAGGATTAAAGGTGTGGGTCACTGTGCCAGGCTAAGCCTGGCTTTTCATGTGGATCCTAGGGATTTGAACTCAGATCCTTATGCCCGCCTGGCAAGCACTCTTACCTGGGAAGCCATCTCCCCAGCCCATGTGAATTTTTAAAAACTCATCCAAAAACCCGATGAGGAGAGCATCGCCGTTGCATTTTACAGGTAAGGAAATTGAGGCACTGAGAGGCGCTGTAGCTATCTAGGGTCACGAAGCTACAAAGCTCAAGAGCCTATTAAGAACATAGTCACAGGGCTGGGCCCGCCCATGGCCTGCAGCTGAGGCCTAACACAACAAGTAAACTTAAAAACGTAAAATAAAAAAAAATAATAATTTTGTTTCATTTTTTGTTTTTTTGGTTCTTGAGTGTGAACTTCCTAGACGACAGTGCCGTGCTGCAGCATTCAAGGCTGGAATGCTCGCCCAGAGACGTCCCTGAGGAGACAGAGGCTGGCTTATTGGGTTTGCCGACTTGTGACCAAGCTGCCTGATGGTCAGCTTGTGGAGCCTGTGGTGTTGGCAGGCAGCCATGACACAACCCAAGGCCCTGAGGGGTGCCAGACGGATGGGGCATGGTCCCCAGAGGAGGGTATGTCTGCTGAGGTTGCAGCCGGTGTGAAATCAGGGGTGCATAGGGGCCGGCTTAGCCATGGTGAGGTGGTGGCTGGTCCGGGGAGGCCCCCGGGGGCTGCTGGGAGGGAGGGTGGGAGGCAGCGTGCCCTGGAGCTGTACCAGGCCTGCAGGCTACCACACCTCCATCTGGCACCACTACTCTCGTTTCCATGACTCATGGGAGCCTTATGTGCCCAGCCTGGGTTCAGACCCCCCCACATCCCACAAAGCAAAGCACTCAGCTTCCCTGAGAGCCCCCAAGAGTGGCCAGTGGCTACCTCTCCTTCAGCACACAGGCTTGGGCCTCCCTAGACCTTGCCTGAGCACATGAGAAGGGGTATGTTTCTAAGGCCTGTCTGATGGGCTCGTGGGTGTTACTCCTCCATTCAGGGGAGCAGTGCTCAGCAAAAGCTCTTTCTGTCCCTCTTCCCCAAGCTCCTGGCTGATGGCGTGTGGTATGCACAGAAGCACAGACTGGCAACCAGATGTGTGGCACAGAGAACGCTCTGCTGATCTTAGGCCAGCTTCTCCGTCTTTCTCAGTGGGGACATATATGAATTGGGACAAATGCATTCAAGAGTTACAGTCAAGGAATGTGAAGCCGGTGCTCCATGTGCAGCCACGAGAGAGCACCATGCTGTGGTCAGCAGATGTGCCAGCACTCCTGAGCGGGGCTGAGGGCACCAGACCTAGGCAAGGGCTGCTCCAGATGCAGAAAGCTGGATGCTCAGTGGGCTGAGTATGGCTTCCCCTGATTCCTTAGCAGGGAGCTTCCCCATCAGGGCTGATGGAGACCTCTCAGCCCGTGGGAAACTTCTGGAGACCCTCAAGCAGTGGGGTTTGAAGTCTGAGAGGCAGATACATCATTAAAAGCACAGCCCACTCTTCCAGAGTATCTAGTCCAGTTCCCAGCACCCACGTGGCAGCTCACTGTTGGCTGTAACACCAGGTCCAGGGGATCAGACACCCTCTTGTGGCCTTTTTGGGTACTGCACACTTGTGGTGCATATACAGACATACAGACAAAACACATACACAAACAATAAATTTTTTGTTTTTTTACAGAAGGGGTCCTTTTGAGACAGGGTTTCACATAGCCCAGACCTTTTTCTTGCCCTCGGCATATATCTTTCTCGAGATTACATGATGCCCAGTGTAGCAAACATGAGTTTAACCCCTGACGCTGTGACGCTTTCCCATGTTAGTTAAACACAATTTACAGCGCCCCTTTCTTCTTTTCCACCCTTATATCAGCACTGGTGGAAGTGGTGTCCCACAGCAGTTTAAGCGGCTCTCTGTGGTAAACGATGTTCTTTGCTGGACTGTCATAATTAATAGAATTTTGCAGACACACTGTCCTACTCTCTTCATAAAGTAGAGTGTTAGAAATGGAACAGGATCAGTGACCATCACTGGATTCTGACGTGGCTAACTTGTCCTCAGAGCCAGGTCTTAACCAGCCTCATGAGCCGGTGTGACAACCGTCTCCCTCTGACTGATAATCCCATGTTTCTGCTCCCAGCACACAGCTGCTTTATCAGCTATCCCCTTATCTTTGCATTTCTTCTGCCAAACCGCTGCTCCCAGCCGTTGCTGATTGTCCTGGTACAGTGCCTGCTCATGTCTGAATTGTGTATAAATGTACTCTTTAGACGGGGAATGTTGCCGCCCAGTCTGCGAAGTGTGCCGCTCTTATTTTCTGGCTTGTCATTTATATTTTTATTTTTTACGTTAAGAAATAATTTAGGAGCTAGGCACAATGGTTATGGCTATAATCCTAGAACAGGAGGGTGGGACAGGAGGACCAAGAGTTCAAGGTCGTTCTCAGCTATACGGTGAGCGCAAGGCCAGCCTGGCCTAAGTGAGATCCTGCCTTAAATAACAAAAACTAAAAAAAAATTAACATCTTTTTAATTTGCTTCCAATGCTGGTTTTTGTTTGTTTGTTTGTTTGTTCTGGTTCGGTTTTTCAAGGCAGGCTTTCTCTATATAGCCCTGGCTGTCCTGGAACTCCTTCTGTAGACCAGCCTGCCTCCAACTCAGAGATCTCCTTGCTTCTGCCTCTGAGCACTGGGATTAAAGACCACCGTGCACCACCATGCCTGGCCCAACGCTGTTTCATTCATTCTCAGAAAACAGGAGCAGAAATGACTGAACCGGTATTTGCCATATGCTTCGATGGGCACCCCTCTAGTGTTTCACCCAAGTCCCACCATTTACTCCTCACAGGAGCCCCTGTGCTGTGGGATGCTAATTATTACTGCTGTACAAATAAGGGGACAGGGATTAAGCACCGACCCACATGATGGCCTCCACGGTGGCTCAGCCTCCTGTCCACCAGCACAGGTAACTTACAGAACTCTTCACAGTGCTGCAGCCCCTGGGCAGTTACTCCCCAGATTTGACGTGCACTGTCCAGCCATGTTCTTACATATTAAACACACGATAAGTATATATCATGTGTTTGTGTGACTTCTCTTAACAATGGACGGTGACTTGGAAGCACCGGCCGAATGAGCCCTTTCCTCCCTGTGGTGCTTTGAAAGAGAAATGTCGCCCCAGGAGGCTCCGGTATTGAAACTGTTTGGACTTCAGCTGGTGGGGCTGCTTCGGGAGGTTATATAACCCGCAGCAGGTGGAGGGAAGACACCACCAGGGTAGGCTATGAGGGTCTGTACAGCCCCACGGCCAGCTCACTTGATCTATTCCCTGTTCTGGGTAGAAATCTGTTCCCTCAGCTCCCTGCTCCTGCTGCCGGGCTTCCCTGGCCTCTTCAAACACCCAGCCCGCAGGAACCAGGAACCGTAAGCCGGAATAAACTCTCCCTGAAGCTGCTTTAGGTGTTTTTCACAGCAGCAGAAAAGCAACTACTACAATCCCCAAGCTGGGCGGGGTGAAACTGGGACAGGTGTTAATGGTCCCTTCTCTTCCTAACTGACGCTTAAGGGGCTTAAGGGTTCACTACTGCCAGACTCTGTGTCCTCTGACAGGTGAGTATCTGCTGGGTACTAGTGACCTCGCTGGGTTTACGGCACTGCACGTTTTAATGCCAGGACACAATCTTCTTTCATACTCCAAACTTTAAACAAGTTTTTATTTTAGTTAAGTGTCAAAGCAGATTCCCCAGCATCTAATTAGTGAGCGTGGCATGAAGTAGGGACCTAAATTAGCTTTTTTCTGCTCAGATGAAACGTTCTTCCCAGGACCATCTATAGAGTGGCCCACCCTTTTCTTACTGATTTATAATCCTGCAACCAGTTCTCCAATAGGATTGCTTTAGTCCTAACATTTCAGTCTTACAGCACTGAATCCCTTTATAGATACCACATTTTTGGAGGTTTTGTAATATATTTTACTATATGATAGAAAAATTGCCACCTTATTCTTTTTTCAAGATTTATTTATTTATTTGTATGTGTTACATGCATGGGCATGCAGAGGGCAGAAGGAGTCGGATCCCTTGAAACTGGAGCTTCAGACAGTACTGAGCCTCCATGTGGGTGCTGGGAACTGAACCCAGGACCTCTGCAATCCAGGACTTAACCATTGAGACATCTCTCCAGGCCCAGCCCCAACCTGCTGTGTTTTTAATTCCTTTGTAAGGGCAAGCTTTTCAAGCTATGTTCTTAGCGATGCTGCCTTTGATTACGTAGTGGGCTAAACAGTTGAATTTGCAGTCCTCTGTTTTATGGAATGTGCCTTTGGACACATGCTTGGAGAGTCCGTCCCCACACCAAGGTTACCTACCTATAGTTATTTTGGTGATTTTGTTTCTTTACGTTAATGTTTAAGCCACTTGTACTATATTAAATTCTAGAAGACCAAAGCCTTTCATGCTAGCAGTAAAGCTATTCAAACAGTGTGAAACGCAGCAGTTACCAGGAACAGAGTCTTGGGTTTACTACAACTGTCAACCACAGGCTGGCAGCTCAGCAGAGCCACTAAGGCTCTTCACTACGTCCAACTGCTGCCCAGGCCAACCCAGAGAAACTACACTCTGCTTAAATCCCATGATGACCATCGGACAGCCACTTAGTGCCTGCAGCTACGCCATGGGACTCCGCATGCCGAGGTGTACCGAAGACCACTCAAAAAACACAATGGCCATACTGAGAGACTCCACACACTAAGAAAGTAAAGGATAGCCAAATGCCCTCAAATGACTGGGAAAATGGTGAATAAATTCTGCAAACGACCACGTGGACTTCTGCGTTTATAAAGGAGTTACAGAAGCAAATACCCACGACTCACAGGGTGCACGAGGTCTGCCTGCCTGTGCGAGCCACCAGAGCAGCTGTGCCTGAGAAAGACAGACCTGAGACACAGCCGGGGCCTCCTCACTGGCCGGGGCAGTGATCTCAGGAGCTCTGGCCAGCCCTGCTGAGGACCTGGAGGTGTCCACATGTCAGGATACATTGGATGCACGTGTAACTCTACTCCCACCATTTCACCCCTCCTGCCTCAGTTTCTCCATCTGCGACTCAAAGAGGCAGAACCTGATGTGGTTTTAAGAAAATTATCTGAAGGAATCCAGACATTTTGACTCCTGGAATCAGCCCCTTTAATAAAGACAATGGCGACAGCGTCACCTATGCTGAAAGCTTGTTGTTCGTGCAAGCTGGAGGAAAGCACGCTATGGATATTATCCTATTCAGCCTCATTAGCTTCCAATGAGGTTCACAGTGTCTGAGTCCTTGCATTTATTAAATCCAGCACATACTTAGTGTGCCAATTACCAGACTAAGTAGTTTGCTTGAGGTCTCGTGGTTAGTAAGAGCTGAGTCAGAATTCACACCTGGCTCTGCATGTCCTTGATTGACTCAACACACTCAGCCATCCATCCATCTAGCCACCCACCAGGCCTGCCATCATCTCCTCACACATCCATTCTCCCTTCTTCCTTCTCCTATATAATCATCCACCCACCAATCCATCCACCCTGCCTCCCATGCTCTCCTGCTCTCTAATCATCCACTTGCCTTCACCTACAGATCCAGCCATCTTTCCTTCCTTCTCCCTGTCTCTCTCCCATCTAACTGTTGATCCATTCATCTGTTACTGTCTCCTATTCTATCACCTCTAATCACCTACCTCTTTGCCCTTCTTTTCCTTTCTCCCTTATTATCCATCTGTCCATCCTTCTTGTTCACTCTCTAATCATCCATTCTCCATTCCATCCATCCATTCTCTCATCCATCCATCCATCCACCCACACATCCTCTCATCCATCCTCTCATCCATTCATCCATCTACCTACACATCCTCCCATCCATCCTCTCATCCATCTATCCTCCCATCCATCCATCCTCTCATCCATCCATCCATCCATCCACCCACACATCCTCTCATCCATCCAT